GGATATGTATACACAAAACGAAACTCACTGCCATCAAGTTGATTCTGACTCATAGTGACCCCCTTTGGGTTTCCAAGGCAGTATATTTTTACAGAAGTAGATGGCACCACCTTCCTTTTGCTGAGCAGCTGGTGTGTTTGAACCACCAACCTTCTGGTTAGCAGTCAAATGCCTTAGGCACTGTGCCACCACAGCTCCATATATATAGATTCTGAATTCTAAAGTATTTTTTTAAGTCATTAAATTAATCTTATTACTTTATATTCTAAGCTCTTATTTCTTATATAAACAACCTCCAATGTAATTAGGTTCATGTAACAATTAAAAGAAGTGATTATTCTTAAAAACTAATTCTATTAAAAACTAAGTCTATTAAGAGTGACAGTAATAGATAATGAGTACCAGTTATCAATAATTAACAGTAAACAAAATAACTTACTCTGCCTACAGGGCTTACTGGATGCACTGCATAATCTGAAGTCATGCTATAGTTAGAAGCTTCATTTATCATACTTATAGGTCGTTCCTTTTTTTCTTCAGATGTCATGGTTGAAACAGTCCTGAAAATATAATACATCAAAATGCTAGGACCTGCTATATATGGAAACTGCTTTATATGAAAGCTTTCCTACAGTTAACAGTGCTGGAATTGTACTTTTTCAAAACAATGAGACGCTAGGTACTCTAGAACCAAAACTTAGTATTCACAACTACTTTAAATATAATGAACACTTCCAAGCAGAACCTAAGTTGATAACATGAATTTACATATTTACTGCAAACCTTCTCTGTGCCAGGAACCAGATATGTATTTAATCCAGTTAAGAGGTCTTGAATGATCAACTATAAGCTTAACATGAACATATTCACTCTTAAATAGGGCACTCAATGCAGTCTTTTCTTCAGTCAATATGAACTTGTGATTTAGAACTATACTTACATATTCAAACTCATGTGAGTTGAAACATGATGTAGGGAGATGAAATATGCCCAGGAAAGCCCAGGTACCAGTTTCAAAAATGAAAGCCTTTAGAAGCACTTGCATAATGAAAAGAGAAGCTGTACCTGGGTGCAATCTCACCATTTACGAGCTACATTATTTGGGGGCAAGACATTTTCTCAGTCTCTGCTTTTCATCTAAAAGCAAAACCAATTCATATGGAATTGAGCATATTCAGGGAAAAAAAATTAATTTAACGTCTTTATATTCATAAACACAAAATAAAGGGAGACTGGGCTATCTATATTACTTTCTTCTTGTTCCCTTGTATGGATCACCAGAGTCACACAGAGCAGAATTTTCCTCTACTCTGCAACTATCCTGCAATTTTTCTCAACTCTTAAACTACGGGATTAGGATGGCAAGATTCAAGATGCATTTTGGAGACTGAGCAAAAAAGATGAATGGACTGGATGTGAGGTGACAGAATGGTAGAACCAATGATGGCCCTAGATTTAGAGTCAAAAGGGAAGATTGGAGGAAGAGTAGGTTGGAAATAGGGATGCAGAGCTGAACTAAGAGTTCTGTTTTGGCTATGTTAAGTTTGAGATGCCTACTAGGTATCCAAGTGGAGATGTGTCAAGTAAGTATTAAATATATGAGTCTGGAATGGAAGTATATGCGCACTATAATATTACACAGTGATTTAAGGTATATATAACATACCAAATACATATAACTACTAAATAGCAACCATGGTTATTATTAGTCTAGAATATTATATTGTTGTT